CCGCCCCCGCCCCCCCCCCAGCGCCTTTCCGGCCCGGCAGCCGCAGACGGGACGCGCGGCCGTCCCCCCCTTTTGCAGCTGGGTTACATGAAGATGGGAGGCCGAACGTTTCCAAGCAGGGAGAGGGACGCCTCACTGGACATGGTGGGGTCCCGGGAGGGGAGCTCCACGCTGAGCCGGCCACCACAGCGGTTAGCGGTGTTGCTCCATCGGTAAAAGACCCCTCGGCGTGTTCAAAAGTTGGCCAGCGATGTTCTCGGAGGGGAGCTGCTCCGGTGCTTCGCAGTGGAGGTACAGCTGCAAACAGCGTCTTCCCACACGTTTATTCGCACCAAAAAACCCCAAACCTTCTGATTCACGATCTCGTAAAACACTTGCATTAAATGGGCAGTAATGACTGCCCAAATGTCTCAACCCCTTTGTTCGAATTAAATCGTGCAGAGATACTAACAAAACTCAGCAAAGGAAGCTATATATTTCCTCAAGTTTAAAAATAACTTGTTTTGCTTTCTGACAAGTGAGGTCACAGCAGGCCTCCGAGCTGGGCATATGCCGCTTTTATACTCATTAAAGTAGTAACCCCATCTGCTGCTGCTCTGCTCTGCAGTTAGGATGCACATTCAGTTCACATTTAGTATTTAATAGCTCCTTCAGCAATTGAAACTGTCTTGGGAGGGAAGGCAGGTAAGTTCAGATGATCTCCAACACCAATAAGGGGCTAGTGTAAGTAATTTACATGAGGAAGACAGGGTTTGCCAGTGTAGGCAATGGTCTGTAACAGACTAAGCAGTACATGGTTTTGGGCTTCCATTAAGCCAGCTAGTAACTGCAATAAAAGATATTACCTGTCCCACCAAATTTTATCTCATTTCATTAGATATCAAAGTTACAACATTGCCAATCTACACAAGAGTAAAATCCTAGCTACTAAGAAAGAGTTTTGGGGTGGTGTTTGTTTGTTTTTTAAACGGGTGCTTTTTTCCCCTCTTTTCTTCTTACAGTTCAAGTTCAGAAGCATGCACATGTATAGGCTTCTTGCAAGCCCTGTGGAGGAAGGTCCTAGTAACTTCTGTACTTCCTATTAAGAAATGTGTTTTTCTTACGCGGTGATTCAGTTTCTTTAGCTCTTAACTTCCTTTGAAAGTGTGTATATGTCTGGGGCCCTGCTGATCTGAGTTCAGCTCAGTAAAACAGAAATATCTTTAATGCAAGTAGCATAACAGTCATATTTTCTACTCAGAAATACAGGCATCTTCTGTAAACCACTGGCACAATGTCAGTCTAAAACACTGCTGAATTTGAAGTTTTTATTACAGTTCTCATGCTATTTACTTCACTCGTTAAGTGCATCATGTATGATGACGATAAGAGGTACCGACAGCACCTTGATAAATGAAATTTGATGGCCATAAGTTGACATCAAGTATCCTTATGTATGTGGGCAACTTGGATTTTTCAGAGAGACTGTCTGAAACAAGGTATTTATAATGTCAAATACCTTCGTTTTGCAAGTGGATTAGCATTTTGTTCATTCTTCTAAATATCTGTATTAAGAATTTCACTAATGATTTCTTTTAAATAAAGTTATTCTTTTAAGTAAGGTTTCTTTCAATCTTGGGCACACTAAGCAATGCCTGCAGCCAACAAATCTTGTTTTGATTGTTATATGATAAACCACAGCTAGCTTATCTTCTTTATCAATATTAGAATGTACAAAGGTATACATCATAGTTTGCAAATCAGTGTTTAAGACTAATGAGCTGGAAGAAACAGATAACCTTTTGGGTGCTTATGCCTTTCTTCAGGCCTGAAATAGGGAGGAGCAAACTTCCAAAGTAATTCTCAGCTTGCACTGATTCCTCCCATGTTAACTAGATCTTCAGAACACTTGAAAAACAGTTGATACCTGGGGAACAGCTGAGAAATGAGACAGATAAGAAAGAGCATGGGAAGTAAGATAATTATCTTTCTAAAAGGAAAGAACAAGGCAGATACGTTATGGTTTGTGGAAAAAAGCAAGGCCAAGCATAAAGCAAATTTCTGCCTAGTACGTGTTTTTTTAAAATTCAGAATTAAGGCTTGAACTCACAGATTTGCCTTTGGAAGACGTTCCACACATCTTCCCTTGAGGATCAGCACTGAAGACTCAGAGAGGTGGTAGATATTTTGCCAGAATCATTCCTCATCTGGCAATAGTGTGGTTTTGTCCTTCATTAATGGGTTTATTCTGACATGTAACAGACAGTTTCCATGACAGTTTTTGGTAAATGGGATGAAACATATTACTCCCTCTTAGCTGTACTCCCTCTTAATACCTCTATCCACAAATGTTGATGGGTTATGACTTTAAGCCAGACCATCACAGTTACCACAAAATCATGAAACATTTGTGCAAACATAGTCACGTGCTTTGGACTTCAGATAGGTACATCAAATATCATTTAAGAAAGGAATTCTATTACTACGAAAGCATTTTTACTGATGAGAAATCACTGATGAGATTTTAATTCTGGCTATATTTCTAGTCACATTTTATCAGTTGACATTTGGATCATTTTTATGCCTTTGAGTTTTTTCCAGCAATGGAAAAGAGCATATGGGATTTTAATGACACATTTTATCTGTGTAGATAAAATGCATAGTTGGTAGCCCTTCTTCCTTCTCACAACTGGGTAATTTTAGCAAGCAGCAGACAGCCTGACCTTTGTTGTACAGACCAGATGCAATCTGCAGACAAATATAGGTTTTTAACTAGTAGCTTGGCTTCCCTTACACTGAAATCCTGTGACTCTGACAGATAATGAAGAACAAAACAATGTGATCAAGAATAGAATTAGCTGGCTGCTGATAAATTTTCTTTACTGCAAGGCACACATGTAAGTAAGCACACACCATTTAGTTACACGGAGAAATAACATTTTTTTAAGCAGTAAGATCTCTCTACTACCATATATAATTGTCCAACTAAGTTTTTAAAGACTGGAAGAGTCCAAATCTTCTTAATCCAGGAAAAAAGATTTACCAGTAGTTTGAAATGAGGAAAACTTCAAATATCACAAAATAATCACGACATCACGCTCCCTGCTACATAATTCCTGGAAAAAATTCCTTAGGTAATTTGTATTTGAAAGTCATCTTCAAAGGTATCTGTTTTGAAAGTCATAATCTTCTGTCATACTTCTGCTTGACTCAAAGATATTTAAATATGAGCATCAAATTAAAAAATTCATTTGTTAAACTAACAACTCACAGATGATGCCAGTAGACAGGAAAGGAAGGAGGAAATTCTTTCTTTCTAGCAGTGGCATCTTGACAATTCTTCTACGGATTTCATCTTTATATCATTGAATAGGATTTAGAAGCCCAGATTTTAATTAGGACAGATTAATGGCCTAATCTGAGGAGAAAAAGAGAAAAACACAGTCCCTTGAGAAACAAAATATGTTACCTTTAGAAGGCGTTTTGTGATATTCTCAGTAGGTTAAACACTGAGCACTAAGGGACTGTTGTCTAGACTTATGCCTTGGAGCCTGCTGGATTTGAGAAACCTGTTAAGATAATGTGTTTCAGGTTCAACATTCCTTCAGCCAGCTTCAGACCTACAGTGACAGGTTCCAAAAGCTGTCTCATGACTGTGAGAAGCTGTTAGAATATGCAGACTGACAGGATCATTAGAATTCTTAGTAGCATATATTTAACTCTGAAAAAGAAATTAAAAAAACAACCTTCTACTCCCAGTTTACAAAACATGCACAGTTGGGTCAATTATTTATTTATTTTTAAAGTTTTGGGTGTTTTTTTTTCCCTGCACAATGTCACTTTTTGTACACAATAATGAGACAGTATCAATCTTAGTTTTGATTTGTAGCATTCAGTATCAAAAGTATACCTGTAACATTTAAAAAGTTACATTTACAAAATTCACACAGTCTGAGTAAGATTTATTAAAGTTTTAGTAATAACATCTATACAATGTCTAGAAAAATACCACATTAATTTTAAAAGAAGCAGTATGAAATTTTATTATATAGTACAAAGTCGGTGTTAGATGTCTCTAAAGATGATACTGTGTTACAAATAATCACTTTAATCTCAGTTTAAAATATATTGCGTCAATTCTAACAGAAATGTTCAGAAAGAC